CTCTTTAGCAAGCCTGTGCCTGGGCTCGGTGTGGTCCCAGCAATGGCAAGTTGTCTTCCAGCTGAGACCCTGCCAGGACAGGACAGCAAGGCTTCTGCCACATCTGCAGGGTCCCACCTGCCCTGCCTTTCCCTCTGGAGTCCGTTCTTCACTTTATTCTTGCCCTCTCACATCCCATCCATAGAAACCTCACTCTTCCTCCAGGACACCACTCACTGCTCCCAGCTTTATTCTCCCCAGTCAGACCTCACCTCCTCAGAAGACCAGAGCCTGAGAACAGCCAGTTTTCTCACCACCAACAAAAAATCCCAATGTCTCCTCTACACCAGTGCTCCCCTTCTTTCTACCTCTGAGAAAATGGGGATCAGGGAGTGGGTGCTGAGACCATCAGCATCGGTGCATCTCTGGCCAAAGACGCTGCTGCTGGTTGACTGGGTTTATCTCCGGTGCATGTGCTATGTACCAAGTTCCACCTTGTGGTGACACTGAGAATGGGCTTCTCCACAAAGCCTGTGGCAGCAGGAGCAGCAAACCTCCTTCTTTACCTTACATTGGCTTTTCTTGCCCTCTCTGCTTCCCTTCCAGGGTGCTCGAGAGATCCTGCTGAGCCTGTGTGACCTTAAAGTTTCATATAGAAGTTGTCCCAAGTATCATGTTGTGGCTGTCCTTCAAATCACTGCCTAAAACCTTCCTCACCTGGCATGCTGGCGAGAAGCCATATAACGGACAGGTTTCTGGTGCCCTGAGATCAGTAGCATCACTCTGCCCCGTATTTCTCAGCCCCACTTTCTCTCTGTATCCTTTGGCTGTCTCACCTTGTCTGCAAGGTCTCTGGGAGGAAAACAGTCCCATTTCCAGCTCTGCTCTGATCAGTCCACACAGCCGTATTTCCCCAAAACAGGCTGGCCATATCCTGACTGCCTACTGGGAGGGACTGCAGGCCCATGCCATCACCCAGATGATGCTGTGTGCTTGCTATGGATCAAACCCATGGCGGGGAATGTGCTGGCCGTTAAACAGTGCAGAGCCCTGGCGCTGGTTCGTATAGACAAAGCCAGGCTGCCTGCTCAGACGTTTCACAGACAGTTCAAGTTGTGACCTGTATTTGTGAAAATCTTCATAAATCTTTCTGCCAGTCTGGGTCACTCGAAGGGAGCCTGGATCCACGCACAGCACTAGCTGTGACTGATCAGAAGCTACTGCCCTGCACTCTTGATGAAACCCAGGTAAAACACCTGAACAAATGTAATTGCATTTGGGAACTCAAAACCAGGCTGAAGGTTTGGTTCTGTCCTTCCGCTGGTCCCTCCATCACAGTGCACATAGAGATTTGGCTGCAGAGTGAGAGGCACTAAACAAACCCTGGCTTGCAGTAAATTACAGCTGTTCCAGCAGCTGGTGTGAAAACAGTGGGAAGAAAGTAATTGAAAAGAAGGATTTCAACTTGATGGATAGGACCACCACCCACAGCCAGCAGCTTAGTTGCCCAACTCCTAAGTCACGTTTCTGGGCACGTGCTGATGAAGATGGTCTCTTCATAAAACCAAAGTCAATTGTAAGTGGATCCCAGCTTCATTTTTTTAAGGCCACTTCACAACTTTTCTCGACATTTTCTTCAGGAGCTGAAATGCCTTCCACAGATGAAATGCAGTTCACTCTGACCATTTGTAGCAGGGCAAAATTTGTGCAAGAATTACATTGCACAACTGAATCATTAAAAACTAGGGGGGGGAAAATCTTTTTTTTTTTTTTTTTTTTTCTCCCAAGTGATTTATCTGGAATTTCAGCACTCTGTAACTTTAGCCAAAAAACAGCCCATGAGACTTCTCTGGTATCTCAACACATGGCTTTAAAAGATGTGAGGGGCAGCCTGAGGTGTGAGAATTCCCCCACGCACATTGCCTAAACTGGGTCATTGAAGGTGTGGAAGTATCTCAATTTAGAAGAAACTGTGGCAAAATCTCCTCCACCTGCATAAAGAGAAACCTCCATGTTTGACCAAGATCTGCAGCCTTCCATTCTGGTGGGCTGGACTGAGTAAGGACTGAGACCCTCCACCCATGGTAAGGACCTAAGAAACACAAGGGCTGAGGGTTAGTCTCGCAGTATTTAGATATTCACAGTGCGGGGGACAAGAGGCCAAAAGAAGGCAGGATAGAATTCACCTGTCCAGATACCTATAAGCCTAAAATTTCATGCAGATACCTACATTTAGCCAGCTGAATCCAACCCTGGATGATCAAATCACCAATATTTGTCTGCAGCTTTCCTTCATAATTACCTGTTTCTATATTTTGATCTCCCTGTAAAGGAAATTATACAAATCATCACCACTCGCAGAGCTGCCTATCAAGTCAGCTGAGTTTCCGGATCTTGCACAAACCGTCTCTTCCCCACACACCTTTCCTTCATCCTTTTCCCTGTTGTTGGCTGTATCTTTTCATCTCAGCTACCTGCAGCAGTTTTCTAAGCAACCCCATTTCCTTCTTCCTCCTCTTTCATTTCCTCATTAAAATCTTTTTCTCCCCAAGCATCTTCTTGCCCCAACTCACCTGCTTTTGGGGCTTTGCACACTGGCAACAATCTCAAAACTAACTGAGAGCTTTAGTTTTACTCAAAGACATTGCTGAGATTGGAAACTTAGCAGCTTTTTCATCAAAATAAAAAAAAGACCCGAAATTAATTTTACTTGTCCTGTCAGAAAAAGGGATAAGCTGCATGTTTAATGTCCTGAGAAGTGTCAGCACTGCAAATTCTCCTGCACTACTAGAAACACTGGCTCCAAAAACTCCCATCTAACACATAAGGCATAACTTGCATCGACTGGGGTGTGCTAGGAGCATTTCGTTTGTAGGAAAAGAGGTCAAAGTTAGCAGCTGCTTCAGAGCAGATCCCTGCTGATCCCAAGTAGCATCATCTCCACCCACGGAGGCTGAAGTCCAGAAAGTGCCTCCTCCATGCTCCCGGCTAAGAAGGACAGGTGGAGATGATTCATTGGGAATTTATATCTGGAAGTTAAACCTCAGGACTGTCTGACAGAAGAAAGGAGGAAATGGCCAGTTTTGTAGGATTTTACTGACCTTTCCCTGTTGATTCTCACCCTGGGCTGTGGCAGAGGGTGCTCCCATAGCGGGGCTGTGGCATTCCCAGCACAAAGTACACAGTGTCTTGGATGAAGAAGTCAGTGCATAAGAATAAGGCATAGTACAAATTAGCTATTCTATAATCTGTGCAAGCACAAGCGCTCCCAGTTCAGAAGCAAACCAACTTCATGAGGCAAGAGAAAGAAAAGCCCCCAGAGTCTAGCAGATTCATTGTGTGCTAAATGTAGATGCCTCTTTATAAAATAAGCAACAAGAAGCCCATCCAGCTGAATTAAAGACATTCAAAAATAAAAGGCACAGAGCACTAAATCACAGCTGCTACCCTGGCTCTGCAGACAAGGGAGCACGCTGTTTTCTTCCCTGACCTCTCATCTCCATCCAAATGCAAAGTAAAGAAAACTCTACAAACTTTTCAGAAACTCATCTCCAGTAATACCCGCTTCTGCTACCGGAAGATATCTCAGGTGTCTCCAACTGACTGTTATTTTGCTGAGACTAAACCATGTGCCTGTGGTTAATTCTGACATAGTAAATACAGCTGTTGGTGTAGCTATGTTGGGGAAAAAAAAGAAAAAAAAAAAAGAGATAAACGGAAAGAAACTGAGTTTCAACATACAGCCATAGACAAAACATATCTACAAGCCAGAGCATCTGAGAAATTTCTGACAAACTACATAGCACAAGTCTGATCCTGCAAACAAACCAACATGTGAGCAACTTTTCTTGTCTAAGTAGTCTGGCATTCAGAATGACTGGGGCACTTGTGTGTGTTATGTGTTAAGGAATTTCAGTAAATACTTTTTTAAAAGCTTGGCTCATTCAACGCTTGTGTATTTTTCTGCCTGAGACAAGAAAATAGATTAACAAACAGCCACTGAATTATTCTTGGTTCCTAATCCCAGAACACTAAATAATATTCACTGAAAAATGACCCACAGGCCAGAATAGGAACTATTTTAATAGTTCCAGATGTGTTTCTTAGCTTTCTTTCCCCAGTGGTTGCATAATGAATGCGATACCTACAAAAAGTATAACATTAACCTCTGCTTCACCTTCCTGTCAGACTTCTAGCATCTGGGAAAATCAGAGGGACGATTTCTTGAGCCTGGGGGAATCTTTTCCCATTTCTCCCAGTAATGTTAAACTGTTTATGGTCAATCATGTATTTCTCTATTAGTTTATTTTTGTTTATAAGCTCATCTACAATAAGAAAGCATCTGTGTTATCAGATAAAAATAAGCTCTGTAGCTTTTTCCCATTTCTGTGGGATCACAATATCCCATTTCAATCTGTAGCTACCACAGTCCTGGGTTGTTTCTACTCATCGAAGTAAGTAAAACACAATGAAGAGGTAACAAATCAATACATTAAAGTCAGACCAGGGAATAAGGGATATTTCATTTCCCTGTCTATCAGACAAGCCTCCCAGTCTCAGTACCAATTGAGACTTCTTAAATCTCACTTGCTGGAAGGGCAGAGAGGATCTCTTCTTTTTTAGAAACATTACTTATTTTGTACTTAACACTTATAGAATCTTGGGGGCAGACCCAGAGCCAAGGTGATTTATCCTGGCCCTGCTGTCTTCACCAGAACCCAGCGAGTTTACTCAGTGGAGCATCTGTCCCGCTCACAGTTTCACCATAAAGGGGAGGAGATTTGGAACAACTTTTCTGGACTTGCAAACACTTATCCAGCCAAGACACCCTTCCTACCAACACAGCTAACCCTATTAACAGAGAAAAATCTGTCATCTCTCTCTGTAACACTGATTAAATGCTGCATTACTTCCAAATGAGAGAATGGGGAGGCAAAAGAGGGGGAAGAAAAGAGGAGGAAAAATAAAGCTCTTGGACAAGATAAGAGAGATGAAACACAAGGATATTTCTACAGACTTACTGTTGCAAGCGAGGAAAGTGCCATTCGATTCCATCGCTGCAAAACAAGCCGATGCGCAGCAGCAGAACGGGCTCCGGGAAACAGCTGTGCCCAGATGTTAAACACTGGCCCGGGGTTGAAGCCAGCCCCACGAGACTCCCCGTTGCTCTCTGCTCCAGTAATCCCCAACGTCAGCTCCCTTCAGAGAGGCCTGCTCCTTCCCCTTGGCTGGAAATACCTCTTCGCTATGACTCCTCATTTATTTCTCTCCCGCATCCGCACGCCGCCGCCTGCCCAGCGCCTCGACTGAGGCCAAAGCGCCCGAGCCCCAGCGCTGGCCCTGGCTCCTCCCCGCTCAAATCTGGCGTCTTCACCGCTGGCCCAGCCTCCTGCATTTTGCTACCGCTGCAGCTTGACAGCGATGCCTCTTTTCCTGTCGCTGGCACATTTTTACATTCCGCTCCTTTCCGGCAAGGCTTCCAGAAGATCTTGAAGTTCTGCAAATCTGGCCTCTGTGGTCCCCAAATCAAGGAAAGGGGCTTAAACAGATGCCAGTGGTCAGAGTTTAGATCTAAAGAGTTTTTAGATGCTGGTGGGGGCATATTTCTTTTCACAGGAGGAAAAAAAAAAACCAAAAAAAAACAGGTCAGAAATTGCCAGTGTAGAAATAGAAGCTGTAACCACAAACACTCACAGAGGCACGAGCCTAAAGCAGAATAAAAGTTAAAAGCTTTGCATTTGAGACAGTGAGACAGACAGCAGAGGAACTGCACTGTCCTGAGGCTTTTACGTGGAACTGATTTCTTCCACTCTGTTCTGAGCTCTTGGATTAGATTTTTTTTTTTAAGGGTAGAAACGATGCTGACAAACAGGGAGGGGGAAAGAAAGGGAATCCAGGGTGGGAAAATAAAGTTTCCTTCTACTTGAATGTTTGGGGGAGGTTTTCAGTGAGTGTTTTGCTGTTGTTTATTTCTGGTTGTGGTTATTTAGATTACCTTGATGCAAACATTTGACAGAGTTGTTGGCAGATCAAAGCCCTCGCTCCTCAGCAGCTGTAAACCCAGCGGCTCCACCAGCAGAAAGGAAAAGTCCCTTTCTGGCGGTGACAGATCTGGGAGGCACATGGTGAAAAATACTTTGGGATTAGGAGTGTTTGCCCTCCCTGCCAGGAACTGGGCTGTTCCTTTGAGAGCACAGACCTTGCTCTCAGATGCTTTTACAGTCTACAAATATAGGGCTGCTGCAGCCACCCAGGGGAAATTGCCCTAATAAAGCAAAACTCCTCTGTGCTAGTACAAAACTAACAAAAACAAACAAGTGGAGAAAATAAAGAGCAGAGGTTTCATCCCATGCCTCCCCAAAACCCACCAGCATGGCATGGGGGTCTCATCTCCCACTAGACACTTTCCAAAGGACCCAGGAAGGAGCATCCCCTTTGCAAAACCACAGACAAAGTGACGTGGACTCAGAGAGGGGCAAACTATTTGGCAGCAAGGTTTGTTGCTGGCAGGCAGGACAGCATCTGGAGGAACCCAAGAGATTCCTCGTACTGCCTTAAAAGCCTCAAGGCAGGGGGATTTCTGAAGAACACCAGTAAAACCCAGTCATCACCCTTTCAGTTGATGGAGAAGATTACTGGAGGGAGTGTACAAGAGGCTGGTGGATGAGTCAGCCAAACTGGAAACTCCAGTAAAGCTGAGGTGATGAATACATTATTGTTTTCACAAAGGAGGAAAAGCAGAGAAGGGCAGTTTGAAAGTGGTGATGGGAAATGGTATTATAGTAACTCCTCTTTATATCGCACCCCATTGCATCCTCACATTGCCTAACACACCCCCCTCACTTAGGGACAGACCGGCCAGTATCCCCATGCCTTCTGTGGCAAAGAGGGGAGATGTAAGAGAGCTACATTAGTCCCAAAAGCATAAGGACCATATTCTGGATAGAACCCCTTCACAGCAGTACAGGGCACAACGGTACCACGATGTGACCATCGCTCCCCTGCACCACTGTGAACACCACCATGATTGCACTGACTGCCTCAGGCTGGGAGCATCACCAAGCAAGTGAGACTGAGTTTCTCTGCCATTATCCCTTGAGATCTGAAGATGATCATCTGCATTTACCCCTTCATGACAGCCCACTGTATCTTCATGTGCTTCCTTCTTGCCATGCTGCCTTCTCCATGGTGGTAGCAGGGGTGTTAGCAGAAGTGGTGCCTCTCAGGAGGATTCACAACACCTTGCCCAACTTTTCATTTTTCCCCATTACACTTACTCTCCCTGCATCACCCTTTAGGCTGTGCTGAGCACTGTGGGACCCTTCTGCCACCCCAAGCTAAGTCAGCACCATTCCTAAACCCTTGATGGGCTTAGTGTTGTATGTATGCACAGAGCAAGTCTGGCACTGGCAGACAGCCTTGCATTTCTTGTGTTCCTCAGAAAGTCCAGCAGTCACCATCAGAGCCGGTGATATCCTACAGCAAACACCCAGAACCTGAGACCACACAGCACAGGTCTCATCAGAGACTTGTTTCAGAAGGCAACAGTCCTTTTAGTTTATTTCTGCACGCACACCATATGTGCTTGAATTCCCTTTCCTTTGCATTGCTGAAACCAGTATATGTCCAGAATAACAATGAAACCAAAGTGACGTGAGGAGCTACTGGGCTCCTGCGACCTGCAGAAATCGTACTAGCAAACAATATTCTAAGAATAATGCAGCAGTTCAATAATGTCGTATGAATCAAGTCTCTGATCCTCATTTTGGATCACTGCACTTATTGTATTCCTTCCTGGTTTGGGTTTTGGCAGGTCAGAAGGTGCAGGATACGAAGGGGGATTGTCCTCTGCCCAGTTAAACCAGCTTCACAGCTGAGTGGCAAGTTAAAAACTGGTGACAGAGCTGCAAAAAGTCAGCGTTCGTCTGTAAGGTCTAAGAGAAGAATTAATTTTATAACAAAATGTGTAGTTAAGATACGCTGCAGCCGACTGTTGCTGTATCTTTGCTTATTTTTTAAAAGCTGTCTGAATTTCTGATTGCTTCTTCCCTGTCCCAAGTACAGCTCATAAACTCTATCCGTTAACTTGCTTACAACCAGTTTTGTGGCTCTTGATTTTTGAGATCAAACCAGGATTTGAAGGGGAGGGTTCAGTGTGATGAAAATTAAACAGCACTCCTTTGTGCATGTTGCCTCTCCTCACATCAGCAATACTGTTGCTAAGGGTCAAGGTTAAATACAGACAATTTCTTCTTAGCAGTCCCGGCATCCATCCCAACATTTTGATACCTTTTTCAGGCACTGCAGGTTTTTCTTCTCTGCTTAAAAAATTAACTTTTACAGTGAGATAACAACAGAACAGTAAAGTCTTTTCTTTTATTGCAAGGTAACAGAGCGAGGTGATTGCATACTCTCTGCCCATGCTGACTTATTTCTGTTTATTCCTTGATCAAATTGCCTCCTCCTGGATTTTACGGCAGGCTAGTTAACATGCACTGATTGCGGAGGAACACACCTTCTTCAGCAATGAAGACAAAACCTAACAGAAAAACCTGCTTTCCTGAATTCCACCAATATATGATAGATCACAAGGAGGGCTGGATTTATTCCCTCTGGGCTCCTGTGTGCACCACCCGCAAGCAGTGACTTCACAGCTGAGCCCAGCTCGGTGTCTCCCAGTTTTCCACACACTGCAGGTTATTACATGTAATGGGTCCCCAAGACTTAGGAAACCGCTTTATTTCCCTGCCTTTGTTGTCATGGATTTTAATCTCCAAATCATCCTGTCGGGCTGAAGAGGAATGTGAGGAATTCCCTGTAGCGTCTCAGCCACACATGTTGTGTTGCAGGCAGCTCCTGTTCTCCACCTTTTTGGTGTTCCTTGGAGTCAGGATCCTGGCTGCCCATGGCTGTACCTAGACCTAACCTCCTCATAACCTTCCCCGAAATAAAGGCAAGGTTGGGATGAAACAGTAGAATAGCGATAAAAATTGAAATGATGGGATAAGGGCATGTAAATCAAGGAGAGGAGCAGGCAGTTGTTGTAGGGCTTCTTGGCCTCGATGCACAGGGTTTGTTCTCCTTGTTCACATGGGTAGGAGCCATAGGATGGGACCCATATGCAGAATAATGCATTAAAAGGAATATTTAGAAATACCAGTGCAGGAGTGAGAGGATAGGAAAGGACCCAAAGTCTACATTGCTAAAACTTCTCAGGTGTGGAAAGAAACCTAGAACATGGAGGTGTTCAAGGCCAGGCTGGATGAGGCTTTGAGCAACCTGGGCTAGTGGGAGGTGTCCCTGCCCATGGCAGGGGGGTTGGAACTGGATGATCTCTAAGGTCCTTTCCTACCCAAACCAGTCTATGGCTCTATGATTCTATGGCAATGACTCAAGAAATAAGCAATGGGCTATTTTTTGTTCCTTTCTCCTCAGTCTTTCCCCTCCAAGGCAAATTCTCCCTTGAGGCTCTGGCACCCAGGAGGGAGGGAAAGCGCAGCCCCTCCATCCTTCTCCCAGCCCTCCCCTTAGCTGCAGGAGATGGCTCTCAGGGCTGGAGGAGGGACCAGGGCTCCCATTTCTCAGTCACACCGGAGACGGGTGCATGGAGGATGCATTTCCTGAGCAGGAATCTCTGAACAGGAAGAGGCCAGAGGTGCTGTGAGATCCTCCTTGGGGCTTCTCTCTGGACTATGTGCACATGGATTTGCTGCACAAACACGCCTGTGCCAGCAGGAGCTAAGGAGCTGATGCTCCCAAGTTGCTCAGGGTGGGGAGATGAGGTTCCAGGAGGTGACAAGGGGAAGACAGGACATGTCACAATACATGCATCATCCTCCCAGACTATCGTGAAAAGCCTTTTCTCAGTCCTGAGCTCCAGGCTTATGCCACTGATAACTCTGGTACCCCAGATCTTGACTAAAGGAGGCACAAAAGCCTCCAAAAGCCCATTTTGCTCCACAGACCCTTTAATTTGGCTCAGCCACAGCCCAGACTCAGGCTCAAAGACCTCCCAGCAAAGGCAGCAAGAACTGAGCCACACTCAGGTCTTTGTTGCAGCTGTTTAAAACAGGTCTTTCCATTGCACCAATTCACCTTCCAGACAGAGACTCAATCAACAAAACACACACCATCAGACAAAGGAAATCACATTTCAAATAAATAGAAAACCCCCCAAACCTGCTTTGGGCACCCAGCTTTTTTTTTTTTTTTTTTTTGTAGTACGGTTCTGTCATTTTCTGAGCTCATCAAGAAGCAGAGTCAGGGCATTTCTAGGCCTGGAG